CCACTGCACTCCAGCCTGGGTGACAGAGCAAGACTCTGTCCTTAAAAAAAAAAAAAAATGTGTACACATGTATGTGTATATAAACACTCTCATACAAAATTTTCCTATTTATAAAGAGGAAATATAAAGATATTTATTTTCCCTTAAGCAACCCCAAAGAGATGAATAATATTGATGCTTTTATTGCACTTGACAATAAAAAGGAATTGTAAGCCAATTGGTCACTCATGTGGAGAGTTTTATCTTCCTGGAAATGTGTACCAGGTCCCCTCTGACAGTAACAAAGAACTACTGTATCAGCTGTGATAGGAGAAATATAAGGAGACACTAACTTCAGACTTACCTGTGTTTCTCAGTCTCAGTGTCTGAAAATACTGAGTCAGCACCTCCGCCAACATTACAAACCTCATCACCATCCTCCTCCTCATCAAAATCAGAGGTGTTCAGGAAATCAAAGCTTTCTAAAGCACTTTCAACTGTAAGACTTAAACTGGAAGACCTGCTGCGGCTTACTGCTGGCTTGCACTGTAAAGGCAGAAGGCACCAGGGAGAACATCAACACATTCAGAAAGAGAAACAGGACACACGATGCTCAATTGGAGATGCCACACTTTTTTTTTTGTTTCAAGTTTTTATTTTTTGCTAGCATTTAAAAATGCATTTAAAAATCTTAATATCCAAAAAAGAAGTACAACCATGGGTAAAATGGCACAATATCTGGGACTGGTTGCAGAAGAATCCGGAGGGAAGTAAGCAGGTTGAAGAATAGGAAACAAGATTGGCCATGAGTTGATCACTGGGGAGGTTGAGGGATGGGCACACTGGGATCCATTAGAGGATTTTCTCTACTTCTGTTTGAAATTTTTGTAACAAAAAGTTGAAAACAAAACAAAACAAAACAAAGTCAACCACAAAGCCTTGGGAAACAGAACTGCTATATTCCTCTGCCTAGTGCTCACCCCAAAATAAAATACAACAAGCAGACAAATTTTAAGTCGTGAGTCAATGCTGAATACTGACCAATCTCTAATTCCAAGTGGCAATGTCTTCAGTGTTCTACAAAAGGTGCTAGCTATCTAAGGCACCTGCTCTAAAGGACTAACAAAACAAATCCCAGAAACAGGAAGTGGCTCAAATTTACCTAGCCCATGTTCCCTAGGTAAGAAGCCCTGCATCTTTTTTTTTTTTTTTTTTTTTTGAGACAAGGTCTTGCTCTGTCACTCAGGTTGGAGTGCAATGGTGTGATCACAGTTCACTGCAGCCTCAACCTCCTGGGCTTTAGCAATCCTCTCAACTTAGCCTCCCAGGTAGCTGAGACCACAGGCATGTGTCACCACACCAGGCTAATTTTTTTCCTTTTTGTAAAGACAGGGTCTCCCTATATTGACCATACTTGTCTTGAACTCTTGGGTTCCAGCAATCCTTGGCCTCCCAAAGTGTTGGGATTACAGGCATGAGCCATCGCACCTACTCACAGCATATAATTTTTCCTCTGAGCTTTGAGGAAAGAATGAATGCCTTAAGCATGACAAGAAGCAGCCCTGCTTCCTCTGTAGCTCTGCCTCAAAGGGAACAAGTCCCATCACTTCCCTGACCAGGCCCTGGCATCATGGGAACAATCCCATTCTCTGGCCTGGAGCATTCTATAATGCTGGCCACATGCAGAAACATTACAAGCAAAACAATGCCAGTTGCTACAGGCACAGAGTTGGAGAGAAGTATTTCCAAATATTCAAGAAGATGCTGGGGTGGGTCGAATGGGACAAATTCTGCAAGTAAGAAGCACTAAATGTCCTCCATCCAGTTAGGTGACACTCCGTGCTGATTTCTTAGTGCAAGGTAGAAAGGGCCTTGCAGGGATCTGTCTCTGACACTCAAGATGGCACAAAAGCACATGGGAAAACGTCTTTCAGTCTTTTAAATCACAGTTGTCTCATTCACCCTCAGTGATCTCCGTCCAAGAGGCAGCACCATTTAGTTTCTGATGGTCAAGATGTTTAGCATCCTAGGAATGTGAAGGAGGGAGAAAAGAGAAAGCTTTGTCCAGCTGATGCTTTAATTCTGGCTGGATACAAAGCCATTTGCCCCAGACCTAAACACACTCACTAGTGACGTTTTCAGCAGTCTCAGGGGGAGAGAGGGAGTCGGTCTGGACTTCACCTGCTTCTAGGGTCTTTTTTCCTAAGCAAGGCGTCTGCACAATTTGATCTTGTACAGTATGGATGTGTTTAAATATTGGTCATGACAAAGAAAGGGGCAGTTGAGGATTTTAGTAGCAGGACAATTTTCGAACAAGAGCAGACTGAAATAATACTCTGGAAAGAAGTCTCTGGTCACCAGTTTTTCATAATGCTTAGTGTTTCCTGCGGATTGAGCTACTTAGCAGCACCCTAGATGCCTGGAATGGGAGCCGCTATCACTACTGGATTTCTCTAAGGAATTCACTTTAGATGGCATCAATTTGTGTCTTAGCTCTTTGAAATGAATATCTTTTGCCCACAAAGCAAAGCTGGTCAACTGTGCAGAAAAGATAGGTGCTTAGTGGAATACCAGACAAGCAGCCTGCATGTACAAACCCTGAGCTGATGGTTTTGAACTGATATTTTACAGAAAGTAGATTCAGAGTGCCCTTCTGTGTCTCGGAGGCTATGCCATCAACTGAACTGTCATGAGCATTTGAGGACCTGGAGAGTCAGAGCCTGAATTATCATCTGCCTTAGGCACAAATCTCCTCCAGAGTTAGGTCAGCAAGACTGAGGAGAGAAGGATAAGATGGTCAAAAAGCCTTGGAAATGCAGTTTCAGATGCCACTGGGCATGTATAAACAATCATCATACTCTTTTTTTCTTTCTTTTTTGAGACAGGATCTCACTTTTTCGCCCAGGCTGGAGTGCAGTGGCATGATCTCGGCTCACTACAACCTCTGCTTCCTTGGCTCAAGCGATTCTTCCACCTCAGCCTCCCGAGTAGCTGGGACTACAGGTGTGTGCCACCACGCCCAGCTAATTTTTGTATTTTTTGTAGAGATGGGATTTTGTCATGTTGCCCGGACTGGTCTCTAACTCCTGGGCTCAAGTCATCTACCCGCCTTGGCCTCCCAACATGTTGGGATTACAGGCGTGAGCCACCATGCTCAGCCAGGAAAACAGTCTTAGAAAGGGATGCAACAGCCTTTTGTGGGTTGGTTCTTGGCTTGCCCCTGCAACCTTAGTTTCAAGCCTTTTTAGAGACCAGGTTCCCCAACGAACTGCTCTTTTAAGAAAAAGGATCCGAGTTCTCTTTTCTTTTATACAACAATATAAATCAGAGCAGCAAATAATACAAGAAGGGGCAGTGAGATTTGGGACAACAATTCAAATCTGTCTTCTTGTGCAGTGTTTTTTAAAAAATTAATCTGTATGCAGGTCGAGACAGATACATTCTGATGCAGCAATAATGATCTCATTATCAGGACCTCCCGCCTGTGAGGAAATCATCCTTCTCATCTTACCCTCCCACCTGCACCCTGGGCTGTCTGATCCCCATGGATTGAGGGTATCTCTGGAGAGTCTATGGATTCCCCGCTCTAGAGTAGAATGGATGATTATTTTGCTGATGATTAATCTGAGATTCTGACTTGGTTATTTGGATCAATTGTGAGAACAGGCAGTCTCCTCCAGTAGGCAGTGGCTCATGGCTCTCACAATGGAACTGGATTACTCTGACTCCAATGAGGGAAAGGGCTCCCTGCTTTCCCCACCCCCTGAGAGGGATCCTATCCAGTAACACCTGTGAGACTGTAATCATCAAAGTGCCACTATTTCACATATGGGATTAGAATGATTCACTTGGGGACTGGGGGAATTTCAACATTCTCTAGAGCTCTTTGTTTAAATCCTAATCAATTTAGATAAGTTGATCTGTTGTCAGGAAAATAAAACTTAATATGTACTACTGGCATATTAGTGCCATTTAAAATGATGATGACCTATTAATCCTATGATTGGACAATAATTTTTTTTTTTTTTTTTGACGGAGTCTTGCTCTGTCGCCCAGGCTGGAGTGCAGTGGTGCGATATCTGCTCACTGCAAGCTCCGCCTCCTGGGTTCATGCCATTCTCCTGCCTCAGCCTCCCAAGTAGCTGGGACTACAGGCACCCGCCACCATGCCCAGCTAATTTTTTTGTATTTTTAGTAGAGATGGGGTTTCACGGTGTTAGCCAGGATGTTCTCCATCTGCTGACCTCGTGATCTGCCCTCCTAGGCCTCCCAAAGTGCTGGGATTACAGGCGTGAGCCACCGCGCCCAGCCTGGACAGGACTTTTTTTTAAACGATACCTCATCTTAAACAGAATGTTGGCTTAGGACACTTCTCTCCAAACCTAATCCAATTTCTCTGAAAAGGTACTTACTTTTAGAATATCATCCAAATGCATGACTTCTTGGTTCAGATCCTGAAACTCTTTATACTGCTCTTTATGTGGTTCTAATGCAAGGAAAAGCCCATTAAAAGCATCCTCTAAGCTTCCATCTAGAAAGGATCTGCAGCCTTCGGATTCTCCCCCGACAGAGCCCTCTGAGAGCACCCTGTCTGTGGCCACTGGCACCTCTGCAGATGTGAGCCTCTTGACCAGCTGCTTCGTGATGTTTCCTTCCAAAGTGTCCAGTTCCACAGGCTTGAGCTCAGAGGCCTCCTCGGACTCTTGCAGAAGTGCCTCTGCAACATCATTCTCAAGGAACAGGTGCTCAGCCCCAGCACCTGAGGACTGTCGGCGGCAAGCCTCAGATGGGGCCGAGGCAGGTTTCCTGGGCTTCTCTGGGTCTTCCTCCTTCAGGTGTGATTTTGGCTCTTGGCCTTCTCCCAAGGAGTTCCTGGAAGATGCTGAGCTGGTGTCATCCAAACCCTCATTCTGGGAGGCCAGGCTGCTGTGGTGAAACTCTGCAGGGGTGATGGTAATTTCTGGATTTGTTGAGTTGGAAGGGGAGCCTGTTGAGTGGGAGGCGAGGGCGCAGTCCCCGTTGGGCAGGTCACTGAAGCTGAGCGACAGTGGCATTTTCTCCGCGGCAGCCTTTCCATTTTCAAAGATGTCATCAGGTAGATTCGACTGTAGATAAAAGATATCTCATTATTATTTTCAATACAAATGACGCATTTGGCTTGGCATGGTTTATTTCCAGACAGAGTGTAAGACAATTACAGTGAAAATACCCAGAGCTTTCAGAATATTAGCATTTTATTTGTTGATGCCTCTGTGTGTGTGTGTATGTGTATGTGTGTGTCTGTGTGGCTGGCAAAAGAAAACAGACCATCAAGAACTGTTTCTATTGTTGAATCTAGGTGAAAGTTCATGCCAATCGTCTCAAGGTTTGACATTTTTCAAAAGAAAAGGTTGCATGGGGGGAGGGGGCTTGTTTTCTGAATTCCAAGAGCTCATAATATTTGGCAGCCATAGTTATGAGTAACATTACCAATTCCTTTTTCTATTTAGGCAACTATCTTAAAAAACTTTCCAACGTCCATGCAATTTAGTTCCAAAGATGTGATGTTTTGTTCTGCTTCAATTCTCAAAAATTATTCCTTTGAAAATCTCTACCCACAAATCCCAAGCTCTGGAAAATGTTTTATTAATTTAGTAACCATGCCATAAATAATTCAAGGCCAGCCATACATTTGCATAACTTCTCTAGAAATAAGAGGAAAAGACCAATAAATGGAACATCAATCTTGCAGGAGGTACACCCCAGGGCTCTCAGGCTGCCTAGAAACACTGAGTCATCTGTCAAGCAGACCCGGGTGGTGTCACAGGTACGCCCTGTGCTTCATGAAGCAGAACTCTGAAGACAGAGGTCAGAAATATCCAGGTAACCAAGATCATTCATTTATTCAGGCATTTCCATTTCTAAGTCAGCTCTCCTTGTGCTGTGGTCTGTGTATAATGCCTAAATGCCAAATGCTGCTCTGTGGAAAGGGCTTTTTAGTTATTGAGATTAACCCCTTCAAAATGGTTAATTTTTCTTTCTTTTTTATTTTTTTAAGACAGAGTTTCACTCTTGTTGCCCAGGCTAGAGTGCAATGGTACGATCTCAACTCACTGCAACCTCTGCCTCCTGGGTTCAAGTGATTCTCCTGCCTCAGCCTCCCAAGTAGTTAGGACTACAGGCATGCGCCACCATGCCCAGCTAATTTTTGTATATATTTTTTTTTAGTAGAGACAGGGTTTCACCATGTTGGTCAGGGTGATCCCAAACTCCTGACCTCAGGTGATCCGCCTGCCTCAGTCTCCCAAAGTGCTGGGATTACAGGCGTGAGCCACCACACCCGGCCCAAAATGGTTAATTTTCTCAGATTCCAGATTCGGTTTTTAAAGTATATAAATGGTAAGTATTATGCTAATAATTGTTTGAATTATATAGAAATTGACAAATTCTCAAAATTTGCTGGGAATAAGCCCAGCGAATAAAAATGTTACAGCAAATGCAGTGAGGAGCAGACGGGAAGATAAAGGCTCCCCGTCCTCCTCCAGCTGGCTCCCTGGTCCCATTGCTGCTGCATCTGAGGCCATGAGATCCTGACACATGCAGTTCGTTCCACCCAAACTGTCCATTGTTGTAGCATGGTTGGAAGGCGATTTACTTTAACTGCAGGCGAGTAAAATGATGTGTCACTGGACACTTGAGTAACCTCTACAAGCTCAGTCTCTTTACCTCCAAAACTGAGGATGTTTTACTCTGTGAGTGATTACTGAGCTGTGGTCCACAATGTTGTTGGGGTGTTGGGCTCTGGTGCTCCTCTTCCTCCCCTCCCAGCTTGTGTATTTCAGTTTCTTCCCTCAAGTATTTGCACCCCCCACCTCATATACACCTTATGTCTCTAGGAAAGATAAAAGGAATCTTTTAGGGGAGGGATGAGGGATGCCTGGACCCTTCTTCTTAGACCTCATCCATGGGGGTCCCTTAGGCTTCTAGAACCTGTGGGTCCTCCACATGGTCCCACTGAGCCTCATCTGATCTGTGCACACATCTCATGGCAGCACCGAGGGAGGTGGGAGACACTGGGTATGGCGGAGAGATTGGGTTGTCAGGATTCTTATTCCAATTCCAAAGTCCTTCCCAGCCATTTCTCTTGAGACTCCAAGACTCAAGCCCAACTTCCACCTACTTAAGTGGCAAATATTTGGTGAGAATAAATCGAGATGCCCCGCCCAAGGGGACTTGCAGTCTACCAAGGGGACGAGCCTAACAATGAGCACGCAACAGTACAATGGTGTGCATGCTGTAACTGAGGGATGACATCATGAGGGAAGGGCCCCAATAAGGGGGTGGCTACTGCCTGAGAAAGAGCCAGTCCTGGAGCTTAATGTGGAGGATGGTGAGGTAGGGGGCAGGCACCAGAGGAAGTGCATTCTAGAAGGAACAACATGCGAAGACATGAGCTCCTGAAAAGAGGTGGTGCATTTTGAGGACACTGAGAAGCTCCAAGGGGCCCCAGCAGAGGACAGAGAGTGGAAAAGTGAGATGGGCTTGTGGTGGGCTGTAGGGAGATGGGAACAGCCGCTCTGAGGACCTTTGCGTTTATCTAAAAGGCTTTATCAGGAAAATCATCCAGTTGTTTTCTAACATTGTTCTTATTTAAATTATGACATGAAACCTCTACCAACTCTCACCCACAACCCTCAACCTGTAGCACATGAGCATGAATATACATGTTATGGTAATGGTTGCGTGTACAGCTGTGTTAGCTCTTTGTGTTTTGGTTCATGTTTTCGTGTATATTTCCCCCATATATTCTTCCCATTTTCCTTTAAAAGTCCACCAGAGGGCCGGGCGCGGTGGCTCAAGCCTGTAATCCCAGCACTTTGGGAGGCCGAGACGGGCGGATCACGAGGTCAGGAGATCGAGACCATCCTGGCTAACACGGTGAAACCCCGTCTCTACTAAAAAATACAGAAAACTAGCCGGGCGAGGTGGCGGGTGTCTGTAGTCCCAGCTACTCGGGAGGCTGAGGCAGGAGAATGGTGTAAACCCGGGAGGCGGAGCTTGCAGCAAGCTGAGATCCGGCCACTGCACTCCAGCCTGGGCGACGGAGCGAGACTGTCTCAAAAAAAAAAAAAAAGATAAAAAAATAAAAAAAAATAAAAGTCCACCAGAGTTTAGCCTGGTCCTTTTCACCTGCCTTTTGAGACAAGGTCTTGCTCTGCTTTCCAGACTGGACTGCAGTCATGCAATAACTCACTGCAGCCTCAACCTCCTGGGCTTTAATGATCATCCTGCTTCAGTCTCCTGGGTAGCTGGGACCACAGGTGTGTACAACCACACCAGGGTAATTTTTAAATTTTTTGTAGAGACAGGGTCTCACTTTGTTGCCCAGGCTGGTCTTGAACTCCTGGGCTCAAGCAATCCACCTGCCTTGGCCTCACAAGGTGCTGGGATTATAGGTGTGAGCCACCATGTTCAGCCTTCACCTGCATTTTTTAATTCAATGAAAAAGATGCAACTATTATTATTATTAACTCGAAGACTTTTAATCCTTTCCTCTGCTGACACTCAAAGCTTCCTTTTATACGTCTGTGAAGAGCAGGATGTTCCATGCATGTGCGTGTGCATGCATGTGTGTAGTGTGTATCCTCTCATGACATAATGTATACTACATAATACTTATTGTATTCCTGACTGCGAATTAAGGATTTCTTTTTGTCAAAGTGTTATAAAATTAACAAACATTATAATAAACTAAGACGGAGAAGCTTTCAAATAGAAGTAGCTCTAGTAAAACTCATTGAAATCCTTCTGAGTTCCTTGAATGCCAATTTTTTTTTGTTTTTGTTTTTGAGATGGAGTTTGCTGTTGCCCAGACTGGAGTGCAAGGGCACCATCTCGGCTCACTGCAACCTCTGCCTCCTGGGTTCAAGTGATCCTCTCACCTCAGCCTCCCAAGTAGCTGGGACTACAGGCACATGCCTCCACTCCCGGCTACTTTTTGTATTTTTAGCAGAGGCAGGGTTTGACTATGTTGGCCAGGCTGGTCTTGAACGCCTGAGCTCAAGTGATCCACCCACCTCAGCCTCCCAAAGTGCTGGGATTACAGGTGTGAGCCGCCATGCTGGGCCGAATGCCAGTTTTTGAAAGGCTTAAACTTGTTTAAAATCTTGTTACCATGGATATCTTTGCCACAATGGAGAAAAATCACAGCACAAAAACGGGATTATTAGAAGAGAAGGACAAACTGTGTCTCTATCAAAGTTACATGCACAACCAAGTTTCCCACCCCAAGGACAGTACAGCTGTAACTATTACCCAGTGAGCAAGACAGAGAAGATAAAACAAGAGACATGCTGAGTCACACATGCCACAAGCCCCCCCGAAGTCAAGCACTCCATACCCGGCAGGCCACACTCACATAGAGCTCTAGCACGGCCTTGGGACTCGGCCTGAGGGAGGGCAGGTCACTGAAGGAGCGGCTGCGGTGCAGCTTGGCAAAGAAAGTGTCTTGCAAGGCACTCAAGACAGACAGCCGCCTTGGCTTGTCTGGGGAAGGATGCAGCCACCTCTTCAGAAGTGAAAGCAAGATGGGGGAGTTAGTGGGAAGAATCAGGTTACTATGTTTTGTTAGCTTTTTAGCGAGCATTTTTGATTAAAACAAGCGGCTATTATTTATATCAACTTCTTTAAAAGGCTGATCTTAGAGAATGTTCAGAAAAATCTACATGTTAGCATCACAGCAATAGGTAAGGTGGGCAAGGAGAGAGGAAAAACAGGAGGCTTACCACCTCTGATAGAATTACTGAGAACTCCCAGCACTGTCTCTCAAGCATTTCAAATGCTGGGTGCAAGCACTGGCTCAGGTGCACTGATTCTACTCGGGAAATTACACTGAACTTACAAAGAAGGAGTGGTCTTTGAAGGTGGGCGTTTCCGGGGTACCCTGGCTGTACATGGACATTCTCCTCTGAAGGGCTGCCGCCTTGTTCCCAGCGCCTGAGGATGCGGTCATGTCCTCCACGTCAAATGGACTGCAAAACAACAGGACCCCATGTATGCACATTTGGTAAAATCACCTATCATCAACAGACCACAGGCTGAGAGAGTACCTCATTACATAAAAGTAAACTCAACCTGTGGGAACTGGGCTGGTTTTAGCTACATTGGTTTGCAGAAAATAAACCTGGATAAAAGAAAAGTGGAGCAGAAAACTGAGTCTAGACTCACCCAAGGGACCCCAGAATATTATCACAGCTCTAAGCACAATTTATCTATACACTTAGATACACCCGTTCCTCACCAACATTAGAAACACAAACTTATGAATGCTTGCTTCGACAAAACAAGATGTTGAAAAGTCTATAAAAATTATCTGAACTTTGTGGGGCTAGATACCTTAATGGTATAAGACATCGACAGACTATTGTTCTGTTCTAAAGAAAACACTCAAAAATAGAATCCTATTCATTTCAGTTGACACAGAGCCTCTTGTGTGGGAAGAGAATAACAGTCTGTTCACAATGATGCCACTTAATATCATGGCACCTGATTCGTCCAGCAAGAAGAATGATCTTGCATGTGAGACGTCAATGACTGCAGATTGTGGGGAGGGAAGGGCTGGGTAACGTGTGCTGATGATGACGAGGCAAGAGTGTCTTTGCTGCTTCCACACCTGGCTTTCTATATTGTAAATGAGACCCTGAGCATGAATACTCAACACGTCAACTCAGCAATATACCAGGGGCATTACATTAAACATTGTGAACTACTAGTGGGGGTTTCTTTTTGTTTTTTGTTTGTTTGTTTGTTTTTGAGATGGAGTTTCCCTCTTGTTGCCCAGGCTGGAGTGCAATGGCACGATCTCAGCTCACTGCAACCTCTGC